CCCCAAAACCCCAAAACCCCAAAACCCCAGCATTATAAATCTGGGTTGATTTTTAATTCTTAAATTACAGGATTTTAGTTTTCATATGAAAAACAAACACATCATTCCCAGAAGGTAAGCCATCATATTTTGGGTGATGTTTAGGCTTCAGAATGTATAATGTTGCCATAGATTACAATGCAGTGACCTAGCATGCAAAAAACATAGGTTCTACTTTTGCAGAGATCACCAAGTCTATTCATGCAGAGGATGAGCCAGCAAAATGCATTACAAATGTCAAATTGTGATCATCCAATATCTCACAGATCTCAGAACTGATGTCAAGGAAGTTCAGAAGCATGTAGTAAGGTTTCAAGAACTAGCAACGGAGAATGGTTTGGAAGTGTATCTTCCTAACATCGACAGCGTCATCAAACATTTTCAGGAAGACTTGGCTGGGATTGAAAAAAAGATAAATGAAGCCATTGCTCATGACCACCATGAGCAATTTGACACTCTCAGGTCCCAAATAAGAGAGTACGTCTTCAAATGTCTTCTAATTTATACTCTCTAGTTGAGGGTATTTTATCAGCTCACATTGGCATATAGGATACAGAATCGCATGGCCGATGAACAAGTCATCAAAGATATCCTGTTCTTGTCCACCACCAGAGATGCAAGTAGATATGGCCTTCCGAGAGTCAGCGATGGTAAGCAACACGTCTTACATATAGAGTTCTCTTCTGCCATCAAGGTGGAACACAAAATCGACACTGTTGTCAAACAAAATGTTAAATTGATACAGAAGAAGCTGGAAAAAGAGGCAAAACAATTTGAAGATCAATGTAATGAAAGACTCAAAGAAGAGTTTAAGGATCAAGTACAAACTCTTCAAGCTCAGAACCAAGCCAAGGATACCGAACTTGAAGAGCAAAAGCAAGCAACAGAAAGAGCACTCCAAGATACGGAGGATATCAAACAGCAAAAGGAAGAAGCCCTTGATCAAAATCAAACTCTTTTAGAAGATAAGACCAAGTTGGAGGAAGACAAAGAGAATCTCAAAAGGGAACTTACAAAGAAAGTGGAAGAAATCAAGCAAGCTCAGCAACAGAACGAGAGAAGCCAACAAAGAGTCTCAAAACTGAACGAAGGTAAGATATTTAGTAAAGCATTATATGAAGAATTAAAAGAGAATATGGTAGAACTTGAAGAAGCCAAGAAAAAGATTGAAGAACAAGTCAAAGATTGTCAAAATATCTTCAGCTTTGAATCCGAAGAACTTAAATTCGACATGGATTCAGACAACGACAAGCAGATCGTTAAAGCAATGGGTGCTTTGAAGTGTTCTCCTGGGCCCAAGAAAAGATTTGACATTGGCTACATTAAGAATGGAGATGAATCCCTGAACACATTCATGGCTCACTCAGCTCCTTCTTCCCTTCAATCCTTTGTGTTCAACAGAGACTACTGTGCAGATGAGTATGGAGACCCTGAATCCCCAGTCAGAATAAAGTTCTACCTAGAAGGCCTCAAGGGGGTTTTACCCAAAGTCACTGAAGAGGTCTTTGTTGAAGCTTTAGAAGTAGATGACACTGATCTTAGCCAGATTGTCAAGTTATCTTCAAGTGCTGAAAGATTGACTATCTATTGGAGCAAAATCTCTACTTACAACTGCTTTGATTTCTCAACTCCTACCCAGGCCAAACTTAAATATCTCAGCTTCTTCAACTGTGGGCTTGATTGGTGCAATACAGAATGGAATGAGCATCCTGATAGGTTCGAAAAGATCATAGTTGCAGTCAAGAACTCCTCCCTAAAGGACTCTCTTGAACAGATCAATGTTGAAGGATGCCATATTGGGGTTGATAAGGTCGATGAGCTTCTGGCAACTCATGGTCTCTCTCATATTGAGGTCATCGAAGAAGAAAATGAACCAGTTGAGGATTAACTACTTAGTTCAGCTACAAAATTATGATATGGGGTTTTGGGGTTTTGGGGTTTTGGGGTTTTGGGG